GTTAGCTTCCTATTCATCACTCTTGGCTATAACTACATCGCTGACGTAGTAGAGTTGATCGAATAGGTATGTTGAAATGCATTGATCACTCTTGGCTATAACTACATCGCTGACGTAGTAGAGTTGATCGAATAGGTTATAAGCCCACGAGCTACCAGCCCCGCCGCTTGAGGCTTTTTCGCTCGAGCCCAGCCACTCGAGCCGCACACGTCCATCGCACCATCACATCATGGACAGCTCTCCCGCCTCGCCTTTGGCCCCCAGGGATCCCAGCTCCCCTGAATCTTCGATCGGCGAACAAATCGCCACTCTACAGGCCCAGCTTGCCGCTCTGCAGGCCTCGCAACCCGCCGCCGCCGCAGCCGCCGCACCCCCGGCCGTCACCGTCGTGCCGGGGAACGCCGCCACCGCATCCAAGGTCGTGTTTCCCAAGCACGCTCGTCTGGACGGCCCCAAGTCGTTCACCAACTGGTTGCGTCAACTCCGTCTTGCACTCCCGAACCAGGTTCGTGGTTACGTTCTCGACGGTGTCGTTCCCCCGACCTGGACCGCCGACCAGCTTGCCGCACGTGACGACGCCGCCCGGGAAATCATCGTTGGCTCTATCGACTCCGCCGACGTATCGGCCACCCTCGACGCCATCCCCAGCGACGACCTGTCGGCACCGCGCATCTTTGCCGCTCTCAAGGCTCGTTTTGCACCGGACGACGCTACACGCACTCTCGAGTTGTTCGCTCGCCTTTGGGACTTCAGGAAGATGCCTGCCTCCGTCGAGGCCTACGACACTTGGCTACGCGAGTACATGTCGATTGCTCAGGAAATACGCGACGCCAAAACATCGCTCAACGACGTGCTCGCCACCCACGTGCTCGCCATGGTCCCGTCTTGCCTCGACAGCTTCCGACTCACGTTCACGGACGAGCAGCGAAACCGACGCGACCTTCCCGAACTCACGACGCTTACGGACCGCATTCGCATCCAGCTTCGTTCGGCAGGACTCTCGACCTCGCATTCGGCCATGCTTGCCACCAGCTCCCCCTGCCCCGCCTGCCGCGCTCCCGGTCACCGCCTGCGCGACTGCACTTCACGTGCGAAGCACCCGCCCACCGGCCCCTGCCGCCGATGCCACAAGAAAGGTCACTGGGCACTCGACTGCAAGAACCGGGGTGAACAGGCACGTAGCAGCGACGACACCCAGGACGACACGTCTTCCTCCGCGGCCTCGCAACCGAACGTCGGCTATTTCGCCTCCTGCCTCTTCGCTCGTCGCCAACTCCCAACTGACACCTTTGTAGTCGATTCGGGTGCCACGACACACATGGTCGCCGACCGATCTCTATTCACGACTTATCGTCAGACGGCACACACCAAGATCGGCGGCATCGCGGGCGGCATCACGGCTATCGGCATGGGGGACGTGGCATTCGTCGCCAAGACTGGACACCCGATCACGCTCCGTGGTGTTCTTCACACGCCTGGCCTACACGTCAACCTCCTCTCTGTCTCTCGCCTCTGCGACACCGACCGCGTTCGTCTCGCCTTCACCAGCGACGGCATCGACATCGCCAAGGACGGCCGGGCCATTGCTCACGGTACCAGGGTCAACGACGGTCTTTACCTTTTGGACGCGGATCACACCAAGTGTCAGCATCTTGCCTTCCTCTCACGCTCTGAGTCTCCCGTGCCCCTGCTTACCCTACACCGCTGCCTCGGCCATCTTGCCCCATCCTCTATACAGAAGATGATTGCTGCAGGTTTGCTGGACGGGTTTGGGGCCGGGTACAGTGACAAAGACGTAGAGGAGTTTGTTTGCAATGCTTGCCTTGGTTCCAAAGGTCACCGCCTTCCCTTTCCCGACTCTGAGTCGCATTCCGCCGAGAGACTTGGCCTCGTGCACAGCGACGTCCTGTCGTTCCCCACTCCGTCCTTGACCGGGAAGCGCTACCTTGTCACGTTTCTAGACGACCACTCTCGCAAACTCTGGGCATATGCGATCGATCACAAAAGCGATGTTTTCCCGACCTTCCAGACTTGGCTCGCCGAAGTGGAGTTAGAGACGAACGCGCGGTTGAGGATCCTTCGAACCGACAATGGCGGGGAGTACCGATCAAACGCATTCACGGAGTTCTGCAAATCCAAGGGCATTCGTCGTCAATACTCTATCCCTTACACGCCTCAACAAAACGGTCGCGCCGAACGTGTCAACCTCTCCATCGTCGAGGGCGTCCTCGCTCTCCTTGCGGACGCCCGTCTGCCGGCCACCTTTTGGGATGAAGCGGCTGCGTATTTCGTTTATTGCAAAAACAGGTGCTCACACTCAGCTTTGGCCAAACAGACTCCAGAATCCGTTTGGAACGGCCAACGCACCACCGCCACCGCCCTCCACCCGTTCGGCTGCACAGCCTGGCTCACGGTCGCCCCGGACCTTCGCAGCAAGCTCGACCCCAAGGCCGCGCGCGTGATCTTCACAGGTTACGACCTCGCCTCCAAAGCTTTCCGTTTCTTTGACCATTCCATCAACAAGATTGTACTTGGTCGCAATGCCACCTTCCTCGACGACGACTTCCCCGGCCTGCCAGTCACCACGCCCGTCGATGCAGACGACACCGACCGTCAGTTCGTCGTTCCCGCCGACACGCCCGCCCCTGCCGTCAAGACGAGGACCCCACTAGTAAGGTCGGCGCACATGGACGTCTCATCCTCCCTTGATGATTCTGCCATGAGCGCCGTTGACGTGGCCCCAGGGTACACTGGCGGAACCTTACTTAATTCCACAGATACCGAATCGTCCTCGTCACCGTCTCCTGAGCCGTCCTCGTCACCGTCGCCCACAAACCCTTTGTCACCGTCGCCTGCGCTGTCACCGTCGTTGGCAGCGTCATCGTCACCCTCGGTCTCACCGACCGACTCTGACTACTCCGCCGACCCTCTGGACCTCATCGGCTCACAGACCCCGACTCGCCTTGGCCCACCGGACGTGCACCGCCCAGACTTCAGCACGTACCGTGAGCCCGCATCGGCTGAGGAGTCGCCCGACGAACTCGACATCATTGGGCGTCACTCGCGCGATGAATCGCCGGATGAAATCGATTTCCTCACCCAACAACACCGCGCCTTCATCGCCACAGACGACGACGACCCCACCCTCGACGCCATCGAGCCCGTCAAATCGATCACTAGCGACCCCCAGACCTGGCGCGAAGCAATGTCCAGCGACGAGCACAACATCTGGGCTGAGGCCGCCGCCGCCGAGTTCACCGCCATGCGCGACGACTTCAAGGTGTTCACCATCGAGCCTCGCTCATCTGTACCGCCGGGCGCCACCATCGTCACCTCCAAATTCGTCTGGAAGACCAAGCGCAACGCAAGCGGTGAAGTCACGGGGCGGAAGGCACGTCTTGTAGCGCAGGGTAACCGACAGCGCGACGGCATCGACTTCTCAGAAACCTTCGCACCCGTCGCCCGTTTCTCCTCCATTCGCTGCCTCCTGGCTCTTGCCGCTGCCAATGGCTACCACGTTCATCAGGCCGACATCGACAAGGCTTACCTCCACGGCGAGCTCGATCATGATATCTGGATGACGACACCACGCGGTTTCGACTTCCCGAGCGATAAGGTTCTCCGGCTGCGACGCTCAATCTACGGTCTCAAGCAGGCCGGTCGCATCTGGAATCGTCACATTGACACATCACTCAGGAATCTGGGGTACAAGGCAACAGGCACTGATCACTGCATTTACTCTCGCATTGACGATCAGCAGCGGCCTCACTATATCGCCTTGTATGTCGACGACCTCCTCATTGTCAGTCCAGCCCTCGACGAGATCGAACGTGTCATCTCCGGCCTTGAACAGCGGTACGGCGTCAAACGACTCGGCCCCGCGGAGTACATCCTCGGAATCCAAATACGCCGCCTGGACGACGGTTCCATTGCTCTATCCCAGGAGCGCTACATCATGGACGTGCTGGCCCGTTTCCACTTCGACACCACGACACGCGGCACTACGGTGCCGATGACGCCCGGCCTCTCGCTCACGGCAATTCCGGGTCAGGGAACGGAGCGCATTCGTTCGTGGTACCTACAGGCCATCGGCTCCCTCCTCTACATCTCCCTTGGCACTCGACCCGACATTGCCTTCGCCGTCTCGTACCTGTCCCGGTTCGCCAACAACCCCGGCCGCCGCCATTGGATTGCCGTCAAACACGTCCTTCGCTACCTTCGCGCCACGTACCGCGATGAGCTTCTCTATGCCCGCGGCCCAGCAAAAGTCACGGGTGTGGTTGGTTATTCTGATGCGAACTGGGGCGCCTGCGTCGACACATCCATTTCAACGATGGGCTACGTATTTTACTTGGCAGGCGCCGCTGTCTCTTGGTCGTCGAAGCGTCAGACTCGGGTAGCGGATTCCACCACTGATGCCGAGTACCTGGCCTTGTCGCACGCGGGTAAGGAAGCGATCTACCTTAACCAACTCCTCTCCGAGCTCCACGTTTGCCCAATCGCTGCAGCTCACATCTTCACCGACAACGAGGCCGCGGCCGCCGTCGCTCACGACCCCGTTCGCACCTCCGGCACCCGGCACATTCGCCTCCGCGAGCATTTTGTCCGTGACATGGTCAATCGAGGTGATATCTCTCTCTCACACGTTGGCACAGCAGACATGGTTGCGGACGTATTCACCAAGGCGCTAGGCCCAAGATTTTTGGTACACATTGCTATGCTCTAGGCCTCCGGACGCGACATCCACGGCTCAAGTCTACCTCGCGTTCGCGTGGGGGGGGTGTGAGGAATCCACTCTCCGCTCGGCTCAGGACTTAGGCGCGCGGAGCGAACCGGGCGCGGACTTAGGCGCGCGGAGTGAGCCGGGCGCCCCGGCCCAGGACTTAGGCGCGCGAAGCGAGCCTGGGACTTAGGCGCGCGGAGCGAGCCTGGGCCATTGGCTCAGCCCCAGGCTCGCTGGCTGTGGACTTGGGGCGCGCGGGTCTCTTATTGTTAGCTTCCTATTCATCACTCTTGGCTATAACTACATCGCTGACGTAGTAGAGTTGATCGAATAGGTATGTTGAAATGCATTGATCACTCTTGGCTATAACTACATCGCTGACGTAGTAGAGTTGATCGAATACGCCATGTCGGACTTGGACGGCTGCCATGAAGAAATTGAAGGGGGGGGATTTTTTAAAAAACTCGGAACTGTTTCTTTGTTGTGTTTTGTCGATTCGGATTCTTATTCGGCGAAAATGAGACGTTCACCACTACTGTCAGGAGAGGTTGAGAGTCGAACAGAAGTGATCTATTTCAGCGTACCTATGAGACGTTCACCACTACTGTCAGGAGAGGTTGAGAGTCGAACAGAAGTGATGAGAAGGAAGCTAAGAAACAGAAAGGGGGGGCCACGCTGGGATAGTCCCAGGCGCGTGACAATGTACATCCCTAAGTCAGCCGCGGGTGAAATCGCCGGCGCGCCTAAGTCCCACCGCAAGGGGGCGGGCTAGCGGGCGCGCGCATGAATCCGCCGGCGCTGGCGCGCTGAGGCAGTCGCGCGCGTCTAAGTCCCCACCGCCGGGGGCGGGCTAGCAAGTGCGCGCAACGACCGAGGCGCCCCTGTCGAGCTGAGAGTGGACTCTTCACACCCCCCCCACGCGAATGCGAGGCAGACCCAAGCCGCGGGTGTCGAGTGCGAAGGCCGAGGGCGTAGCAGTGCGTTGAGAAGACCTTTGGGCCGAGAGCCTTGGTGAAGATGTCGGCCACCATGTCGCTGGTACCCACATGCGAGAGAGAGATGTCGCCCCGATTCACCATGTCCCGAACGAAGTGCTCACGCAAGCGTATGTGCCGAGTGCCAGAGACGCGGACAGGATCGTGAGCAACTGCAGCAGCGGCTTCGTTGTCAGTAAAGATGTGAGCCGGTGCAACAGGTTGTACATGGAGCTCTTCGAGCAGCTGACTGAGGTAAATCCCTTCCTTGCCAGCATGCGAGAGGGCGAGGTATTCAGCGTCGGTGGTCGAATCGGCAACTCGAGACTGGCGTTTGGACGACCAGGACACGGCCGAGCCAGCGATGTAGAAGACGTAGCCCATGGTGGACACCGATGTGTCGATGCAGGCCCCCCAGTTCGCGTCGGAGTAGCCTACCACACCCGTGATGCGAGCCTGGCCGCGAGCATACACGAGTTCGTTGCGATACGTGGCCCGGAGATAGCGTAGGATGTGCTTGACCGCAATCCAATGACGACGACCGGGGTTGTTGGCGAAGCGGGCCAGGTAGGACACGGCGAAGGCGATGTCAGGGCGGGTACCGAGCGAAATGTAGAGGAGCGAGCCGATAGCCTGCAGATACCATGACCTGATCCGTTCGGTGCCTTGACCCGGGATAGCAGTGAGCGAAAGGCCGGGAGTCATCGGAACTGTAGTGCCGCGAGTCGTGGTGTCGAAGTGGAACCGAGCGAGCACGTCCATGATGTACCGTTCCTGGGATAGGGCGATAGAGCCGTCGTCGAACCGCCTGATCTGGATGCCGAGGATATACTCGGCCGGGCCGAGGCGCTTGACTCCGTAGCGTTGGTCCAGGCCTGAGATGACACGTTCGATTTCGGCCAGTTCCGGGCTGATCATCAGGAGGTCGTCGACGTACAGTGCGATGTAGTGTGGACATTGACGATCATCGAGCCAAGAGTATACGCAGTGGTCGGTGCCCGTCGCCGTGTAACCGAGGGCCCGAAGCGAAGCGTCGATGTGTCGATTCCAGATTCGGCCAGCCTGTTTGAGCCCGTAGATGGAGCGTCGCAGGCGAAGCACCTTGTCGCTGGGAAGGTCGAAGCCGCGCGGTGCCGTCATCCAGATGTCGTGGTCAAGGTCGCCATGCAGATATGCTTTGTCGATGTCCGCCTGGTGCACGTGCAAGCCGTTGGCGGCCGCCAGCGCGAGGAGTGAGCGTATCGAGGAGAAGCGTGCGACCGGTGCGAACGTTTCGTTGAAGTCGATGCCGTCGCGTTGCCGATTGCCTTGCGCGACCAGCCTTGCCTTGTGTCCAGTGACTTCGCCGAGTGCGTTCCGTTTCGTTTTCCAGACGAACTTGGATGTAACGATAGTCGCACCCGCGGGCACCGTGGCTCGGTCCTCGATGGTGAAGACCTTGAAGTCGTCGCGCATGGAGGTGAACTCGTCGGTGGCGGCTTTGGCCCATACTTCACGCTTGTCGCTAGACATCGCCTCGCGCCAGGTCTGTGGGTCGCTCGTGATGGACTTGACTGGCTGAATTGCCTCTGTGTCAGAGGTGTCGTCGTCGATGGCGATGAAGGCGCGGTGGTGTCGGGTGAGGAAATCGATTTCGTCCGGAGATTCGTCGCGAGAGTGGCGCCCAATGAGGTCGAGTTCGTCGGGCGACTCCTCAGCCGATGCGGGCTCGCGGTACGTGCTGAAGTCTGGGTGGTGCACGTCCTGTAGATCGAGGCGAACCTGGGGCTGTGAGCCGAGGAGGTCGAGGGGATCGGCGGAGTCTTCAGAGTCGGTCGGTAAGGCCGAGGGTGACGATGACGCAGCCGACGATGGTGAAAGTGCAGGCGATGGCGCAGACGACGGTGATGAGGGCGACGCAGGCGACGGTGACGAGGACGATTCGGCATCTGTGAAGTTAAGTAAGGTTCCGCCAGTGTACCCTGGGGCCACGTCAACGGCGCTCATGGCAGAATCATCAAGGGGGGATGAGACGTCCATGTGCGCCGACCTTACTAGTGGGGTCCATGTCTTGACAACGGTTTGAGATTCGGTGGTGGGAGCGCTGGCGAAGTGCGTGTCGCCGTCTTGCTCAGTGGGGTCGCCATGTAATCCGGGGAATTCAGTGTCGAGGAACGTGGCATTTCTGCCAAGTATAATCTTCTGTGTTGTAGTGTCGTAGAAGCGAAAGGCTTTTGAAGCCAGGTCGTAGCCGGTGAAAAAAACGCGAACCGCCTTCGGGTCGAGTTTGGAGCGAAGTTCGGGCGCGACCGTAAGCCAAGCTGTACAGCCGAACGGGTGAAGCGCCGAGGCAGTGGTGTGGTCACCCTGCCAGACGGAGTTTGGTGTTGCCTTGTCCAGGGCCGCGTGTTGACACAGGTTCTTGCAGTAAACGAAATAAGCTGCAGCCTCCTCCCAGAATGTCTTGGGTAGGTGGGCGTCGACAAGGAGGGCAAGGACGCCTTCGACAATGGAACGATTGACCCGCTCTGCACGACCGTTCTGTTGAGGCGTGCGTGGGATAGAGTATTGTCGACGGGTGCCTCGTGTCTTGCAGAACTCTGTGAACGCTCTCGAACAGTATTCGCCACCGTTGTCGGTTCGGAGGACCTTCAGCGTCGCACCCGTCTCGAGTTCAACCTCGGCTAGCCAAGTTTTGAATATGCCGAAGACTTCGCTTTTGTGTCCGATTGCGTAGGCCCAGAGTTTGCGCGAGTAATCGTCAAGGAATGTGACCAGGTAACGTTTGCCAGTCAAGGACCGCTCGGGGAAGGAAAGCACATCGCTGTGTACAAGGCCGAGTCTCTCTGAGGAGTGCGAATCCGAATCGGGAAAGGGAAGACGATGGCCCTTTGCGCTGAGGCAAGCATTGCAGACAAACTTCTCTACCTCTTCGTCACTATATCCGGCCCTGAGACCCTCCAGCAAACCAGCGGCAACCATCTTCTGTATGGAGGACGGTGCGAGATGGCCGAGGCAGCGATGGAGAGTCAGCAGGGGCACGGACGACTGTGAGCGAGAAAGGAGAGCAAGGTGCTGACATTTGGAATGATCAGCGTCCAGCAAGTAGAGCCCTTCGTCGAGTCGTGCGCCTTCAGCGATGTCGTTGCCGTCCTTGTCAATGTGGATGCCGTGTTTTGTGAAGGCGACACGGACATCGTCGGTGTCGCAAAGTCGAGAGACCGAGAGAAGATTGACAAACAGGCCCGGAGTGTGCAGCACGCCGGTAAGCGTGATCGGATGACCCGAGGCGGCAATGAAGGCGATGTTTCCCGTTCCGATGGCGTTGATGCCCCCTGCAATACCACCAATCTTCGTAGGAGCGATATGGCGATAGGTCGTGAACAGCGACTTGTCCGAGACCATGTGCGAAGTGGCGCCCGAGTCGACGACAAAAGAGTGGTTGCGAAGCTGGCGACGACGAGCGAGAAGACCGGTGGCGAGACATCCGACATGGTGTTGCGAGTCGACGGTCGAGTCAGCGGTGTCGGGCTTTTTGCCGTCCTCGAGCGCCTTCTTGCAGTCGAGAGACCAGTGATCCTTCTTCTTGCAGGAGCGACAGGGTCCTGGCGGCGGGTGTTGCGCCCTCGTAGGGCACTCCGCGACTCGGTGCGAAGGGCTGCGACAGGCGAGACACTTGAGACGAGTAGAACGTGACGACGACGAGGCAAGAAGGGCCGATTGAGTGCTGGGGATGTTCGTTGACCGAAGTTGGACTCGCATACGGTCGGCAAGCGAATCAATGTCGGGGAGAGTTCGTTGCGTGCGCTGTTCATCGGTGAACGACGCCTTGAAGCTCTCGAGGGACGGGTGGGCGATTGCAAGGAGGAGTGTGGCGAGAACATCATTGATAGTTGTCTTTGTGTCGATGATCTCTTGCGCAACGGCTTTGAAGTCCATGATCCACCCGTCGAATTCGGCAACCGTGCCGGGCATGGGACGGAAACCCCAGAGTCGTGAGAAGAGCTCGAGCGTGCGGGTGGCGTCGTCAGGGGCGTACCGCGATTTCAGCGTCGAGTAGATTGTCGGCGCTGTCAGGTCGGCGGTAGGGATTTTGTCGAGGACTGCCGAGACTTCGGCCGAGTCAATCGAATTCGCAAGGACCTCACGAGCGACGGCGTCGCGAGCGGAGCGTTGCGAAGGTGTCCAGTCGTCGGGTGCGATACCGTCGAGGACGTACGAGCGGATGTCGTCCGCTAGGCACAGGCGAAGTTGGCGTGTCCAGTTCGCGAAGGTCTTCGCACCATCCAAGCGTGCGTGCTTTGGAAAGGCAGTGCGAGTGGTGCCGGACGTCGTGGCGGGTGTGGCAGTGCCGGAAGCGGCAGCGGTGAGACCCGACAGCAGCGATGTAAGTGCGGCGAGCTGTTCGGCGGGAATCGGAGGGTTGGCACCCGTCGCGAGGGGTGGTGTCGTGGTCATGCCAGCTGGTGGCTCGTGGGCTTATAACCTATGAGACGTTCACCACTACTGTCAGGAGAGGTTGAGAGTCGAACAGAAGTGATCTATTTCAGCGTACCTATGAGACGTTCACCACTACTGTCAGGAGAGGTTGAGAGTCGAACAGAAGTGATGAGAAGGAAGCTAAGAAACAGAAAGGGGGGGCCACGCTGGGATAGTCCCAGGCGCGTGACAATGTACATCCCTAAGTCAGCCGCGGGTGAAATCGCCGGCGCGCCTAAGTCCCCACCGCAAGGGGGCGGGCTAGCGGGCGCGCGCATGAATCCGCCGGCGCTGGCGCGCTGAGGCAGTCGCGCGCGTCTAAGTCCCCACCGCGGGGGCGGGCTAGCAAGTGCGCGCAACGACCGAGGCGCCCCTGTCGAGCTGAAGAGTGGACTCTTCACACC